CAACGGCAAAGATTACCTGAACATTTTGGGAGATCATGTTCCTCCAATGGCCAAGACTTTATTCCCTGATGGTGACTGCATCTTCCAAGACGATAATGCTCCAATACTCGGTAGCTCGAGTGGTTAAGAATTGGTATGAAGAGCATGAAAGTGAGCTAGAACACATGGAGTGGCCTCCCCAATCTCAAGATATCAATATTATTGAACATTTGTGGTGCATTTTAGAGCAACAAGTTAGGAGCCGCTGTCCTCCAGTCGTGTCGTAAAGAGCTGGAGAAGGTTTTAATGGAAGAATGACTGAAAATTCCTCTGGATAAAGTGAGGAAGCTGTAGGATTCCATTCCTAGACGTATTAATGCTGTCTTTGAGGCTAAAGGAGGACCAACTCTATATTAAATAAATTTTCTTTGAATTAAACAAGTGTTCCAATTATTTTGTCCAACCCCTATATATATATATATATATATATATATATATTAAAAGTATAAGTGTGATCCTTGGTCGCATTCGATATTCAGCAGCGTTTAAAAATTACCTGTGGCTTAAAAATGCGTTTGCTGAGTCTCTTCCGAATACCTACACAACCCATAGAACCTACTTCCTGCACAGTAACGCAGATGGGAGAGAAATTTAGAACTTATAATGATTGTCTCGGTGTTGCTTGTGTGATAGAAAATAAAGGTCCTAGTGTATTTGTAACAAACTGCACAGAGAAAAAAATCTAATCTACCAGTTAGAGACACTCGATGATTTCTTTAAAAAAATGAAAACACCAAAAAAAAAAAAGATTGTCCCACATCTGTTTCTTAAACTGTATCCTAAATCCAATTTTGATTGCGGCCCCCAAATCATGGCCACTGTGGATATTTGTTGTTGTTGTTCTTCTTCTTCTTCTTCTACGTATCACTAACATTAACGCACACAAAAAATGCGCCTGCAAAAATAAATAAAAAAAATGATAAATCAATCGAAACTTACAAAGCGTACACAGAAATAAATGCGTAATAACGAACACTCAGGCACATAAACACAATCATTGATCAATAAAATCGATATATCGATCAGTTGTTACCTGATTCTTATGACGGATAGCATTCACACGCCCTCTTCTCAGTCGCGGATGGGAAATTTCCTGAACAGTAGTCAGCATTTCCCCACCGCTACCCCTCAATCGCTTGACGTGATCAGGTCACCCAGCATGTTGCAGCACAAGACTGATGAATGGTATAATACTCACTGACATAATGTCCTAAGTAAATGCTCTTTGTTAAGTCAGCAGACTGGATGTGAGGGTACGTACGGTTCGATGTCTTCAGTTGGAGATCTATTACGAGAATTAGGACAGGAAGAATTTTTTTAATTCAATTTACCCCAAGAAAGGTACTAATGCTACTAAGCATAAGGTTTTATTGGGTGTGATAGAATAAAAATAAGAAAAACATTATTAATGAGCGAGAACAATAGAAGTGTAATAAAAAAAAATTAGATAACGATTGACATTGCATTAAAATCTTTGAAGATCAAAGTTGGTTGGAAAGCATGGGCCGGATGAGTGTTCCAAATGTGAGAAATACTGCTGTAGAAGAAACTGCTAACATAGAACTTACGGTTACATCTATCCAATTCAACTGTAAATTGATGAGACCTTCTTGCAAATCCAGTACTATGCTTAAATTCATAAACTTTATTTATTATAGCGAAGTGTTCATGAGAACAATTACCATGAAGGTATTTATAGTAAAAGAAGAAGGAAGCTACTTTACGGCTGTAGATAGTGACCGAAGTCGAGTGGCCAGGTCAGGGCTTATAATATTGCTGATTCCCTAAATAAACAGAATGAACATTGGACTATATGTGGCAGTAATATTCTAAGCATGGGCGAATGGTAGATATATAGATACGTAAGATATATTCTGGAGAGAAAAATTGTCTCGCACGACACAGTGGACCAACTTTCTTAGCAGCTGATCGAGCTATGGATTCAATACTAAGCGGAGAATGTGTTGTAGAGTAGTTTTCACAGTGGAGGCTTGTATTTCGCTAAGTCGGTCCTAAATTAGGTTCGACGTACAAAACGTTAGGAACTTGAAAATAATAGTTAATTACGCAGTAATCTAGTTGTGGAGTTGATACTTTAATGTCCGACATCGACTGACTCACTCAACTCACTGAGCGACTGCTACTACTACTTATTATCTGTGGGAGAGCCTATTTACAATAGAATAGGTATGATCTAGTATAACAGAATGTCAACCCGAGAAAGCGTTACGAGACATTCTCCTAGAGGTTAGCATCAGCCATGCTGATAAGAGGCAGAAAGGAATCTCTCAGATGATTAATAGAGGACAGTTTAGTTTTAGAGCCATTTCTTGCCCCAATTAACAACAGACTGTTGGTCGTTCTTTTTTAGATCAATGGCCAATTTGAACTTATGGAACGGATCAAACTTGAGACAGGAATAAATGCGTTATATTCCGTACCTATGAACACTAAAAAGTATGTCCCAATCCTCATAAATAGCACACTATTGTAAGTGGAGGTAATATGCTGTCTACGTAGTCCACCACTAGCAGTGGTTTACCTACTTTCCAGCGCTGGCGAGTATTATATTTTGTTGATGTTATAAAGATTACCTTTTCATTTCCAACCTCCGTTTTGGTTATTCCTCATTCAGTAACCTTTTCTAGGTGACAACAGATACTCACAGACAACTTAACCCCTTAAAGATGGTCTCAGATGAAACTGAAACTACTTGGGAAAATAAAAACTATTTGAAAGAAAATGTTGGTATTTTTCTAAATCAAGCAATCAAGTCTATTTGGTTTGATACTAACGTTGCAAATGACTGAACAGAATTACTACTGATTAACAGAACTGCAAAATAGAAAATTATTAATACGAACTTACCACTCAAAAGTCACTACACACAACTTTAATCCAATAGATTAATGTATCTAGTGTACTACAAAGCAGTAATACACTACCAAAGTGCATTAAAGTATTACATTGTTGTTATATACCGTACCTATGAACACTAGTGGGTATGTCCGAATCCTTATAAATACGTTGGTCACTATTGTAAGTGGGGTTATATACTGTCTAAGTAGTCCACCACTGGCAGTGGTTTACCTATTTCACGGCGCTGGCGAGTATTGTATTTTGTTGATGTTATAAAGATTATCATTTTATTTCCAACCTCCGTTTTGGTTATACCTCATTCATTAACCCTTTCTAGGCTACAACACAATAGCTGTGTGCTAATATTGCTGTCGTAAGATTGTATCTTCTCCCTCAATTTTCGCTAATGGAACATTCTTCTGCCAATGACGATCTTCAAAAATTTAAACGCAACATCATCTCCTGTCCTTTTGAATTCTGTTTTGTTATTGTCACATTCTTTCACTCGTTAACCCCTTGTATCATCGTGGCTTTATCCCCTTGCTTGGGGTGGAATGATTAAAGAAAAATGACTTGTTCCCACTTACCAGGTAGCTCTTTGGCAACATATCCACAGGTTTTGATGAGGAAACGTTTTCAAGAAATCGTGAAACTGTTTTTTTTTTTTTTTTTAGGCGGGGGAGGAGGTCTTTCCTACGAAAGAGTTTTGCAGTAATCCGATCGAAAAATTAAAGAATCGCTTGATGCAAAGTCAAAATGGCAAGTGAAGTTGTACAGTCTGACCAAGTTAGAAATTTTTAATGAGTTATTTTGCTTATCATGGAGGAGAATAAGAACAATTTTTACGAATGATGTGCACAGGACGCATTTTAACAAACATTTATGGACATGTTCCAGCTGCTGTTGATTCTTTAGATCTAATCAAGCAAGAATCTCTAAATATACAGCAGGAGTACGAGACCATATTTTGGAGAGAAAAATTGTCTAGTACGACACAATGAGCCAAATGCCTTTGCAGTTGACCTAGCAATGGTTCCATTATAGTCATTCGACATCATGTCAGATAAGAAAGCATAATTAATCACTCTCCTGGAGATTAGCATGAGACAGGCTGATGGAAAGCAGAAAGGGCTGCCTTAGCTGATTAATACAGAAGTTTTGTTTTGAAGGCGTTGAAATTAACAAGCAATTCTTTTCCTCAGTTAACAACACTGTAGGTCGTTTTTGACATCAGCCGACAATTTGACGTTATTGAACCGATCAAGACTTACTACCGAGACAGGAGTAATTGGTTGGGCGATCAGCATCGATATCAAGCTGAGAGCTGATGCCATCAGGAATGTTCTTAATGAAAATCAAAAACAAAGTAGGGTCAAGGATAGAGCTCTGAGGGACACCATAAGTACAAAGGGCATTACTTTCAAGCTATACAACCTGATCACGTTTGATGTTCTGCATGAAAAGCGCATTTTTAACGAGAATTGATTGATACATTCCTCAATCCTATCAAAAACAAGTCTTAAGTGAGATAGAATATGGAAACTGGATGGTAAAAAAAATTTTTTTTTCGGTTTATTAAGTAAATTCTCTATTTAACGAACTTTTTGGCCAACCTAAAAAAAAATTCTTTCGCTTCAAAATTATGCGGTATCATTGTTAAGACCCCCAATCCTAAAAATTTCTTTTCACGTAATTCTCGCTTGTTCCATGCCTTCCAGCCAACATTGATTTCAAAAATTTAAATGCAATGTCAATCGATATCTTCCTGTTTACTTTTCTATTGTTCTCGCTCCTTAATAATGTTTCTCTTTTTTCTTATTCTTTCACACTCAGTAATCACTTGTGTCTAAGGGGATTTATTGCCTTGCATGGGGTGAATTTGATTGCAAAAATATCTTTTTACGACTCCTCACAGTCAGAGACCTAAATTATTGATGTGGGCCCAAAGTTGGGACCACGGAAGGAAAACACGGAACACGGATTAGAGGTAAGAAAGATATATTAAACAAAAAGATTACAAAGATAGTGTAAGTGTAAGCGGAGCTTACTATGTGCTAGTGTCCAATATTGGTAGCCGTACGCGGCTGATACTACGGTATTAGAATACTCTCTCTATCTATCTATCTATCTATCTATCTATCTATCTATCTATCTATCTATCTATCTATCTATCTCTTTCCTCCTCTTCTCCTAGAGTATTATATCGCATACTTTATATAGTCCTGGAAGAGTCCATGTTGTAGGTATGTTACGGTCTCACAACAATTATCAATCAACCCTCGCACTTGCCTCAAGATGAGTACTTAATGGCCGGTTGAATTTCTCAATTATTCGTTCCTTTCTCCATTATCCTACAATACTTCCTGTCAATCTCTGAATTCTAACTGAAATGTGAGAGGAACGTTCGTTGTCTTGAAATTTTGTTTGGCCATTCGCAGCAGCTAATCCCTAAGCAGACATCCAAGACATTACTTTGCCGCTAGATCCTGAAGATGTCGAGAGGGTGAGTCCGGATCTGTACAACCTTTTACTCTCTTTTTTTATTAATTTCACCCCAAGAAAGGCAATAATACCACTAATGCACAAATGGGTTACAGTGAGCAAAAGAGATTGAGAAGTCTTTTAGGAGGAGGAAGGACAATAAAAGAACATGTCTCAGAAAGATGGAAGATGGGGAATGGCGCGGCATTTAAGTTTTTTAACATTGTTCGCGGTAGAGAAGCAAGAAACTGGAAAAAAAAACTCCACCTGCAAGAAGTGCGAGAAAAGAAACTACCAGAACAGAATTTACAGTTACATTTAACTATTTCAACAGTAAAACAATGGGACCTAATTGCCCACCTAGTAATACGCGTCACTGTGCAAATTAATTCAAACAACCGCTTTAGATAACTGTCTTTCGCCATACGTTCAGTTTCGGACCCACTGGAGTGACAGGGGGCAGTCGATTTCTATTTTTTCCTTGGATTAGTTAATTTGCAGTGGTGTGCAATAATATGAATCTCTTTTCAAGATGTATGATGAAATTTGTTTGTCCTTGAAAAATATTGCGTCATCCATGGTTGCATCATATTTTTATCACTCCCCGACACTATTGTCTCGACTGTCGATTTGTTGTCCCATGGCCATTGTCTGCTATGGACGTTACTCTAAGAAGCGTACGAAAATTGTAATGCTGCCCAAATACACTGGCAAGGCTTATCAGTGAGCAAATCAAAGTTCTATAGATTGGCTCGGAAACTCTCCAGATTTAAAAATACGAAAAAAAGTAAAGAATAACGGAATTATTCGTTTTGTTTCAATTAATTTGCACATAGGTGTATATAACTGAAACACGAAACCAGATATGGCAGCAACATTCAATACATAGATGAATGGTAGATTTATAAATGCGCAAGATGATTTCCAACGAAGTCTAATTGTCTAGCACGACACTGTGAACTAATTCTTCAACCCGTGCTAAGTCTGGCACAAGGCTGTCATTATAACGCATCCAGTGAGAACAACACTTCTCAATGAATTCCACACAATTGTGGAATCAACAATGACATGCGTTCTTGCAAAGCATGCACTTCTAGGAAGATTTTTTAAAAATATTTGCGAAATCCTGCAATGAAGACGATTCATTGTAAACTTCAAAGACATGTTATTGATTTTAGATATGCAGTCTTTTAGGAATTTTTATTCTCTCTCTCTCTCTCTCTCTCTCTCTCTCTCTCTCTCTCTTCCTCTCTTCCTCTACTTCTCTCTCTCTCTCTTCCTCTCTCTCCCACTCTCTCTTCATCTCTCTCTCTCTCTCATGCACACACACATACAGAGTCAAATATTTTAACCTTCTACTCAACTGAAGAGAGCTCTCTCTCACCTGAAGGAACCTCTCTCTCTCTCTCTCTCTCTCTCTCTCTCTCAACTGAAGGAAGCTCTCTCTCTCTCTCTCTTCAATTCAATAGAAATGGTTAAAATATTTGACTCTGTGAGATGAAGTAAAGGAATGACGTTTGTGTTTTTTTACAATGCTATTCAACTTGTACAAGGCCCAAGAGCCGGTCGAAGTAGAGGGCTACAGATTAAGACACACAGTTTATATGGATATGTAAGGAAGATAACGGTTAACCCTACACTTGAACAAGTTAAGAGTGTAGAGATCAGGGAAGCATCATCTTGGGAGTCATTTCTACAAAGCAATGGTTCATGGGAAGAAGCTGCTCGAGAGGAACTTACATTTCGCCAATGGAATACGAAGGGAATGAGGGTGATTCACTACAATGGGCGTGGCATAGGAATGAAAATAGCGATAGAGCAGTGAAAACGTTTCGTCTGTGAAAAAAACGTTGTAGGGTGAGAAATAATTTACCACTTACAAGGACACGAGACGCTTTGGGATTCTATTGAGACGGAAAAGGGAAGACTGTGTAGCTCCTTCCCATCTATGACAAAAGTGCTCCTTTTTCGACCTGATCTGGCTCTTGCAAAGGTAGAGGATATCAGAAGGAATTTGGTACTTACTGCTAGCGCCAATAGAACCGACCATTTTTCCGGCCTCTTTAGCAATGGATCGAATATAAGAGTTCCACTTGAGATCTGGGTCCCTATAGTCGAGTATGATGATAAACTACATCCGACAGCAAGGCCTCTGATCAGAAGGTTTTGAGGAGCGTAGAACCACCTCTTAATTGCGGGTATTCCAAAGTTCACCCTGACCCGCGGTGCTAGCATCTGTCAGGGTCACAGTTATGGCCAAAAGCCCTCCAAAACCGGTCAAGATAGTATGAAAGTATAAAAATATATTTTAATACCAGCAATACTTTTTTGGAAAAAATGTTACAAGCGGTACAATTTTGAAAAAGAAAAAATATTACCAACAAGTGATAATAACAATAATGATGAGGATATTAGTCTGAATGTAAATAATGATAACTCCTCATCCCAGAAATTCAAACAGAAGGTGATCTGGTGATAATAACAACAAAGATGAGGATATTAGTCTGAATGTAAATAATGATAACTCCTCATCCCAGAAATTCAGTCAGAATGTGATCTGGTGATAATAACAACAAAGACGAGGACATTTGTCTGAATGTAAATAATGATAACTCCTCATCCCAGAAATTCAAACAGAAGGTGACCAGGTGATAATAACAACAAAGATGAGGATATTAGTCTGAATGTAAATAATGATAACTCCTCAACCTAGAAATTCAGACAGAAAACATAAAGCTATGTTTTGAGTTTTGAAGAAGTGAGACAAGCTGCAATCATGATTTGAAGACGATGGTTTTATTTTCTCATATCTGAACCACTTCAGCAATGCAATGGCTTTGTAAAATCCAGGACTTAAAATGGCTTCACGCACATCTTCCAAATTGACAACTTCTGTTCAATGTATAAATTACTGCCCCAAACGAAAATCGAATGCAAGTATTAAAAAACATGTATCCCCTAAGATTGGACAATCTCTCACTGACAGCTGAGTCCAGAACGAATAAATCAAATTGACCTATCGACCCATTCTAACACGCGAGAATTAGACGACAAAACGAACGAATCTCGTGACTTTGAAAGTGAAGAAACATTGTCATCGATCTCAAATATTGCTAGAGACTCTCCTCATGGTGTAGTGGTTAATGAGCTGAACTTAGTCTTAGATTATTATTTGTGACGCCTAATAATCCTAACTTTTTATTCAATACTTGTCTTACATCAAAATTTAACTATTTTTAAACGCTATTGTGTTTTAATAGGGAACGGAAAGTGCGACACTGAAATCGGAAGAAACGGTAAGATAGCAAAAATTGCGTTCCAATATGTAAGCAAAGTATTAAGAAACAGAAAATCTTCCTTAGAAACAAAGAAAAGAGTATTGAACAGTTATATGTTATGTAGTGGTTTCACAGTGGAGGCTTGTATTTGTACTAAGTCGGTCCTAAAATAGGTTCGACGTACAAAACGTTAGGAACTTGATATAATAGGTAATGACGCAGAGAAATCTAGTTGTGGTGGCTGATACTTTAATATCCGACTAACGGTCGTCCGACATCAACTGACTGAGCAACTCACTCCGACTCGCTGAGCAACTGCTACTACTAATCCTACTTATTATAGGTGGGAGAGTCTATTAACTATAGAATAGGTGTGTTTCATTATAACATTATATAATATCAATCCTCCAATCTGGAACTGAATGATGGACAATCTCCTCACAGATGAAATAACCTGAAGCAACAGAAATGTGGTTTCTATAGAAGGATGCTGAGAATACCAAAGACTAAACATGTGAGTAACGACGAAGTTTTAGAGAAAATGGAAATAAAAAAAGGACATTTGTACTTGACATCAGGAAGAGACAGTTGAAATTTATAAGGCACATAATGTGGAAAGAAGTCTCGGAGAATTTGACACTCTCTGGACATATTGAAGGCCAGAGGAACAAAGGAACATGGCTCTAATCTATCTGGTGAGATTGAGTAAATGTATAGAGGAGCAAGGACAAAAAGCCAACGTTCATTAAGATGCACAAAGGACAGAAAATTGTGGAGAGCCATAATCACCAAAGTCCCGAAGGGACGCGGCACAAAGAATAAGAAGATATATCCTTAAAGAACCATCACTCTCCAAATCCAAATATCACTTGTACTTATTCATCCCGTCCCATGACCGCTTGTGGTCGTAGGGTCACTGCGCAGTTGGGCACCATAGCACTTCCCTTAGCAAAATTAAACCAAACACAACGTGGGCAGGATGCAGGATTAAACCAGTGGACAGGTCGAATAATCTACGGATTCCCAGGGGACCTACGGCCACTCCCTTAAGTTCGGTTAGGACCGAGTAGACACCTCAACCCAGAAAGTAAGACGTCGGAGGTTGAGAGGCTGTGGCGAAAGTGTTAGATTCCGAAGAGGTCACCCAACTAGGTACTGACCAGGCTCGACATTTTCGTGACTAGGATCGATCGATTGATTTTTTTTTACGGTTTACCAACCCTTTTTGAGTTATTTAAAGCTGAAACATTTTTATGTTTTATTTTTAAAATGTTCGGTTTGTTTAGCGGCATATCATGGGTTATTTAATGCCGAGATCTAAATATTTTATACGTAATTTTATTTTATTTTGGGGAGATAATAATAACGATTTAGTGATACAAGTTTTAATAATTAACCGGGAATATGTGGATTCATGCCTTTCCTAATTGTATTTGAGCGGAAGTGAATATAACGAACCCAACAGGAATTGAAACTCGGCTCTCCGATTAACAATTTCGAGCCATAATTCTTTTTACCAAGCGCACACCCAAGTTTATATCAACTGGTATTCGCAAATGGTTATCCATTTAAGTACTGACCTGGACCAACGTTGCTTAACTTCGGTGATCGTACGAGCCGGTGTTTTAAAACGTGATGTGGTCGCAAGCCGCATAATAGGAAGCGAAGAAATTAATTTACCTCTTTCTCAGGGGCATAGCCCGAAATCGAATGCAGCAAACTAAACTTCTATTTGACCTTGACCTTTCATTTATTTGCATCGGTAACCGTTTCGCTACTAGCATATTTTTTAAGAAGCAATAACAAAAAAGTATATTTTTGTCTACCGATGTACCTTTACGTTTTATGTGCATGGCTTCAGAATGGGTGTGTTTTCTTGGAGAAATTTAATGCATTTTAAAGCAAGTTATTTAGAACGTGAAGCCTTTCACGCAGCGAGTCGATCTCTCGTTAAAAAAAGTATAAATAGTTCGTTATAATTTCTATGCCGATTTTGGCTTTGTTTATGTCCTTGTTTTGCTTTAAATTTAAGTTTGTAAATAACCATGTGCCCGTCTTTTAAATGCAATTTAACACCCGACTGCTTATAGACAAGTTGAGGAAAGGCTAACTTAAAAACTTCTATCACATTACATGTTCTAACTTTCGGAAATTACAGTTCCTAGTTTGAAAAAATGCGCGTCAAAGGAAGAAAATGTAATAACCTAATTCGATAACAACGATGTTTCGACTGCAGAGCTTTCCCCTAGCTATGAATTAAATAGTTGGACGTGTATCTTGAAAATCCATTGCTATCTCAAAAGAATTGTTAATGCAGTACTCACTTACAAATAAAAATGTTTCAGCTTTAAATAACTCAAAAAGGGTTGGTAAACCGTAAAAAAAATCAATCGACCGATCCTAGTCACGAAAATGTTGAGCCTGGTCAGTACTTAGATGGGTGACCTCTTCGGAATCTAACACTTTCGCCCCAATCTCTCAACCTCCGACGTCTTACTTTCTGGGTTGAGGTGTCTACTCGGTCCTAACCGAACTTAAGGGAGTGGCCGTAGGTCCCCTGGGAATCCGTAGATTATTCGACCTGTCCACTGGTTTAATCCTGCATCCTGCCCACGTTGTGTTTGGTTTAATCCAGAAAGCAGAAGTGATGTTCATCCATTCACGGTCGACTGAAGATGTAGACACGGCTGGAGAGTCTGCGCTAAGAAATTAAGAATGCAGCCAAAAATATATATATATATATATATATATATGCAGAAAGCCGGACAAACAACTATTCAATGATTGAATTGTTGATGTTTTTTTATATAGCAGAAAAGAATAGTATAGAAAGCAAACGGGTTACAGAAAAGAAAAGTAATTGGCGTAAAAACACATTCATTGAATTCTGGACAGAGAGAGAGAGAGTATTATGATTAACTTGTTGGTAAATCCTCTCAGGACGATATACGACTCTTGCTATGAGGGAATAAGATTTCTGTGTGCGACTTAAAGTTTATAGTGGCGTTCCTCCTTAGCAGTAGTAACAGTAGCAGTAATATTCGTGGCAGCAGAAGCAGTGGTACTTATCTCAACAGCACATGTTAGCGAACGCTTCGTTCCAATCTCTGACCTCACTTTCTCTCCTTGAGTCTCCAACTCGACTCTCCACTGTCTCTAGCCCAACTCTTGCCTTGGCTAGTTCCCTTCTGTCTCGCTCTTCCGTCTCTCTTCCGTCTCAACACTCGCCCGTCTGCCTCTTCTGTCTCTCTCTTCCATCTGCCTCTTTTTCAGCATAACTACACGTTCATATAGAAAAATCCGTCTGGTTACAACTGAACCATAGCCCTATTTCGCACGTGATTATCACGGGGTTTTGGCTGTTTCAACCAAAATCATGTGAATTCCAAATTTCCTCCTAGTTTACTCAGCTCTATTTCAATTTTTAATCGATAAAAATTATTTCGACCATTTCCATTGTCATCTGATGACCCAGATTCAATGGGTACACTTCTGCCCTAGATCAAATTTCCACATCAGTAAAAAAACATGGTCTGATTTAATTTCGCTATCCAAACCTACAATTTCACTAAAAAAAAAAAAAACGAGTGTGTGTGTGTGTGTGTGTGTGTGTGTGTGTGTGTGTGTGTGTGTGTGTGTGTTTCCCAAACTCCCTCTGTCACAGGAATACTAGGTGCTGTAATCTTGGATGTGCAAGTGGTGTTATGGATAAGGACTCGGTATTGGAAATCGGAGAGCTGAGTTCAAATTCCAGTCGGGTTTATCCATTTACGCGCAAATCCCCTTGAGAAAGGTAATGAAGCGACTGCTTCCTCCTACCGCCAGCGATGGGCCAGTTAGTAGGACTTTTATCGGCAAATTATTATAATCGGCCAAAAATTATTAAATCTAAAACATAGGTTGCAATAGGTTGATAAACCTTTAAATCAAACCAATCAATAAAAAGCCACACGGATGTCAAAACAAGTAGTCTCATACGACCTGATTTTTTCAAATTAATACACACACACACACACACACATATATATATATATATATATATATATATATATATATATATATATATATATATATATATATATGTATATATATATGGTGTTCAAATGACTTGGACCGATAAATATATGGTGTTCAAATAACTTGGACCGATTTTAAATAGGAATTAAGTTCTAAGCGTCTAATGGATTTTTTTTTCTCTCAGATTTAACAACTTAAAGTCTTTGGCAATTTCAACCATGGAAAGATTAAGAATCAAACAACGTGTTAAAATTATCGAAGCCTATTACGAAAAAGGACGTTCAAACAGAAAAGCATTTCGCAATTTTTTTGGTCAGCATAATCGATCAACCGAGAGTGCAATTGGAAACGATGTAACGTTCTTGTGGAGAGGTTCAATTCCTGCGCGCGATGACGAATAGAGGGGTCTGGATTTTCGGTCAAATTCTCGTGCATTGCAGCAAAGTTTTTCGGCTGAACGGCGTAAACGAGCACGCAATGGTGTTTTCACATCTGCCACCGACCCAGTTTGTTTGAATTTACAAACAATTTTTCCAATTACACACTTGAAACTTTAACACGTTGTTTGATTTTTAATCTTTCCATGGTGGAAATTGCCAAAAAACTCAAGTTGTTAAATCTGAAAGAATAAGATAAAAATCATTGGACGCTTAAACTTAATTCATATTTAAAACCGGTTCAAATTATTGGAACACTATATATATATATATATATATATATATATATATATATATATATATATATATATATATATATATATATATATATATACACAATAGGGGGAAACTAACATTCGTACACATACAAAATTTTTAATTTGTTGTATTTCAAAATAATGAATAAACCTACTTTTCATATAATTAACTGTACACGGATGCATAATAAGTAAATATGCATAGAAAACAGAAATTTCTTTTAATAGAAATAAATCCCATTTATCCATTTTAATGGGTGAAAAAGTATTCGTACAAATGCAAATTTTAAATTTTAAAACTTTTACATTGCTTTAATAGTCTAGATTATTTAAGTGGAATATTCTAGAATGTTCCAATAATGTTATCAGTAATTATTTTTAGCCTAAAAAATATAAACAACATTCTGTAATTGATATTCGTGCAAGAAGGTTTTCATCATGACAAGAGGTAAAGAATTAACAAGTTCGCAAAAAGAACTGATTGTTAAGCACTGGAAAGAAGCTAAAAGTTACAGGAAAATCTCAGCCCAGTCAAATATTTCATTTACTACCATTAGTTCATTCATTGCAAGGTATAAAAAATGCAAAACTGTTGAAAACCAAAAAAGAATAGGTACTCCATGGGAGATCAGCAAGGAAATTAATGCGTCAAATTAAACAAAATCCAATGGTCACTCGTCAAGAGTTGCAGAATGATTTACTTTCATCAGAAATCTGTGTCACTAAATGGACAATAAGCAATGAAATTCATCTGGACAATCTAAAGTCATGCTCCCTTGGAAAACTCCACTTCTATTGAAAAGACACAGAAATGCCAAGTTGAAATTCGTTCACTAACATAAGGATAAGGAAAAATCATATTGGGAAAGAGTATTATGGACAGACAAAACCAAAATTGAGTTGTTTGAATGTAATTCTAGAAATCATGTATGGAGGAAAGATAACCTTGCCTTCAAACAAAAGAACACAGTTCCAACACTGAAATTTAGTGATGGCAGCATTATAGTGTGGGATGTTTTTCTGCAAAAGGTACTGGCAACATTTCTGTAATAATTGTCCAAATCGTGTAACAGCAAAATTGTCCAATTATTAGATAAATCTCTGAGCGGTTGTATCTTAGAAATGATTTATGATATCTTACTGGAAATCTCCGAGGTTTTTCTAACGTTATTGGACTCTACTTCAAGCAATAAGAATGCATAATTCCTCTCGAAGCTTAACGGAAGAATCGTGATGAAATAGATCATAAACGAAAATGCCATGTTCAACATCAATTACTCATAGCCAAGGATCATGAAGGATTGACATAAAGAGAAGAGGGAACAAAAAAACTTGGAATGTTGAGTCACTAAAAGGAATTAATTGAAGCTGAGATATCCCAAAAAGGCATGGCACGTGGAATTAGAACAATCGACCCCCCCCCGTGAACTCAATAGACGCTTATGTTCGAAATTTCAACGTATATCACCTGAAGAAAGGCCTGAGCGTACAACGGTCGAAACGCTGTGAATATTGCAGTAAAGGTGAAGGCAATAGTCCGAATGACGTAAATAGTGTAAATTGCCATCGTTACCTATCAATATATAAGTGTTTTTTGTGGCTAGGAGCGATTTATTTCATGTCTGTTCAGGATTTAGGCGATGAAGACGCTGATTTCTTTTTCTTCTGAAAGATAGTGACGTTTTCCACGGTTTTGAAGTCAGATTTTTCCTGTTGCTCGACTGGCTACCAACAAAAGGCTAGATCGCCCAGTGAGAGGAAAAAAGAGATGGACCCAGGTCTTTCTTATGGGCTTCTGTGTGAAACGGAACGCAAGAGACTAGGCCGGAACTTGAACTCATTTCGCCGACTCCAATAATTAAATAACTTTTCCCACACCCGCATTTTTCTCTGATTAAATGCCATCTGTAAACAGCACACGAGAATGGCTACATTCA